AAAGAAGGCCAAGAAATAATGATGAATGATTGATGATTGTCAGAGTCTGGACGTGGAGGGGGCTATTGACGTGATAGTTATATAATTATATAAACAGTTTTAAAATAAGTTAAGCCACACCTAAAACATATGTAAATTAAACTTTGAAAAAAATAATTTTTGCTGTAATTACTTTGATATCATGCATTCTTGAAATTATAGGACTTGAGGAATGGCAAAAAAAGGGGGGAAGTGTAATGGGGCAATAAAGATTATGCAAATATTAATTTAGAATCATTTAGATAGAGCAAATAGTCCCTTGACTTTGCATTGCCTCCTGACCGTGTGAAATAGCTCACAATCTTGTCATTGCAATTGTTTTTTATTTGATATTATAAAATGCTCAGTTTATTTATAGATAATGATGGTTTTGAAAGTGATCATTTTCCTCACTCATTGCATAACTTCTCATTTCAAAGGGTCATGGATAGTTACTGATATTCTGCTAGGTATGAATAGAAGTAAGGCTTTATTGTTCCTGCACTGTATTTGTATAAAATTCATTAGAGCCGTAAAAAAGATTCTGTCTAGGTGTTCTTTTGTATGATCCATAGTAACCCCATAAACAATAGATCTGTACCCTGCAATGTCCTGTGTGATCCCCATCATCTGTGAGGAACTTAAGCGCATTGTTATATAGTCCCTGTGTTAATCCTTCTTATTGAGGATCGTTCATTGACCCTCCACATCTCCAAGTATGATATTTTTTTTTTTAAACATCAATGGGAAACCTACCAACATGCCTAAAGTATGTGATACAGTTTCAACATCCTTGCCTCTAATGAGTACCTGGTTGTATTTTCTTCAAAAACATATGTTTACTCTTTTGACAGTCTATGGTATTTCCAGTACTTCTCTCCAACCCAAAGGCATTTGATTCTGTTACCATGCTTATTCACTTATTCATTGACTAACTTTCAGATGCATATCAAATTATAGAAAAGGCCATGGATTGTATCAGGTGTGTCTTAGTCCTTAAATCTGTCCTTGATAATAGATTTTTCCAATATGATACTTCTGTTTCAATACCTAATAAATCTTTTTTGTTTTTCTTTTTAATTGTGATTAAAAAGATAGCAAACATTTTCAAACAGGTTAGTTTTCATTCATTCATACATACACATCTTCTCCCTACTCCTCTCCTGATTGACTTTGTAATGCTTAATCCTGTGCCAGATTGTTATTTGTGATATATATAATGTCTAATAACCTATTCTTTTCACTTTGTCTTTCCCTTTATATATTCCAGTATACTGTTCATTATCTATCCATCTTTTTTCTTTTCTCCTCCACCCTCCTCCCACCCACCACCCAACTATTGCAACAGTGTCCTGATGCATTATTTGTCCTTTAATGACTGAGACACTTCACTCAGCATTATGTCTTTCAGATTCATGTATGTGCATTACAAGCTCCTTTTCTCCTAGTGCTAACAGCCCACTGTGGTGATATACCACAATTCCCCTTATACGTCTGTTTGTTGATGGCCACTTGACCTGCTTTCTTCTCTTTGTTGTGAAAAATGCTGCAATAAACATGTGTCACAGCTGTAATTTCTTTGGAATTTATTCCCAATAGTGGGATGGTTGGGTCAAATCATATTTATATTTTCATTATTTTGAGGAAGCATCAGACTGCCTTCCATAGTGTTGTACAATTTTGCTTCCCACCAGCAGTATTATGAGAATTCTGATCTCTCTATATACTCACCAACATTTGTTGTTTGCTGTCCTTTTGAACTTTGCTATTGTTGCTATGTAAGTTGATATCTCATTGTTATTTTTATTTTTATCTCCCTAATAGATATAAAAATATCTAATAGGGAGCTCCGATGGCCTAATGGTAAAAATCTGCACTGCAATCCCAAAGGCATGCAGTTCAAATTTACCAGCTGCTCTGTGGGAGAAGGATGAGTAATCTCATGCAGTGTGATTAACTGCTGAAAACCAACTGGAGAATCAGCTATGGGTCGGTTCTGATTCATTGGTATGCAATAACAACAGCTATTGATTTTAAGCTTTTTTCCCCCAATGTATTTGTTAGTCATTTGACTTTGTTCTTTGTTGAAATATATATTTACATCTTCTGCCCATTTTGTGATTTTGATTTGTATTGTTTGTCCTTCTCTTGTTGATGTATTGAAGTATTCTATACATTTTAGACATGAATTCTTTATCAGATATGTTATTGTCATTTTTTTTCCAGTCTATGGGTTTCCTTTATTATTCTATTAGAGGAAGTTTTGATGCACACAGGATTTGATTTTTAGACAGTCTCATTAATGTATTTCAGTCTTCTGGCTGTGGGTTTTTGGTTATCCTTGAAGGTCTTTTTGTGCCATAGATTAAGGCTTCCAGATTTGTTCTTATTTTGTCTCTAATGATACATCTTTGGGTGTACCTTAAGGTCTCTGATACACTTTGAGCAGAAATGTTCTGCAGTAGTAAAGAGAACCTAGAAAAGAAAGTTAGAAACATAATATGAATTACAATCTTAAGATGAAAAACTTAGTAACAAATCTAAGTAGAAACACAGAAGACATATATTACAAAATTACTAAACTACTATCAAAAACAAAAAGAGACCTAGATATATAGAAAATATAGCATGTTCACAGATAGGAAGAAGTCATCACATGAAAATGACAATTCTACCAAGAGCAATTTATAAATTCAGTGGAATCCCGATATAGATACTGACATGACAGCATTCTTTAATGAGATAGAAAAGGTAGTTTTCAATTTTGTCTTGAAAGGAAGGAAGCCCTAGATAAGTAAAATGCTAATTAAAAAAAAAAAAACCAACACAAACAAACAAACCCGACAAACCAAAGTATAAGGCATCACACTCCCTGACCATAAAACTCATTTCACAGGCAAAATAATCAAAACAGCATGGTACTAGTACACACACACACACACACACACACACACACATCAATGGGATAAAATCTATTCTATTCTAATTTATTAGAATCTAATCTAATCTAATCTAATCTAATAGAATCTATTCTAATCCAGAAGTCAACACAAATACTTATGGTTAACTGTTCTTTGACAAGGAGAAGAAATCAATTGAATGGGGGAACAACAGATTCTCTAACAAGTATTATTGTTATTGCATACTATTGGGTCAGACCAACACATTCATGACCCTTCAGCAGGTTTTCAGAGGTAGTAAATCACACTCAGGGTGATTGTCCATCTTAACCTGTGGAGCAGATGGTGAATTTGAACTACATGTTTTTGGAATTGTAGTGAAGTATCTTAACATAAGGGCACCAGAGATGTGCTGGCAAAATTAGACAACCATCAAGAGAAAACTGAAACCAGAGTCACACTCATGCTGTTTCCTTTTATGTTGTGACTGCTAACACCAAGGGTGTTGATTGTTGGTCTGAGTAAGATGAAATCATAGGCAATTTTAATGCTATTTTAATGGCAGTTTTAATATAGATGTGATCTACATCTCAAAATCAAGAAATTAAAAAGCCTCACTGTGTCAATAGGTAATATTTTGACAGATGCAGAAAGTATTTCTGGCATTTTTTGTCACTTTATTGTTCTATTTTTTTAATAATCTTCAGCAATATTTTGCTTATTGTATTGTTGTGTACCATGGAGTCAGGACCAACCCGTAGCTGACTCTCTGGGGTGTTTTCAGTGGCCATTAATCACATGGGAGGAGGTTGCCCAACCTTCTCCAATGCAGCAGGTAATGGCCTCGAATTACATGCCTTCAGGATTGCAGCAGTTTCTTGCTACTAGCCCACCAGAGCTTTCATGTGATATTGTTTGATAATTCCCATATTCTATTGTACTAATGTGTGCCTGATCCAAGCCATGATTTTTCAATTACTTGTTATGAATTAGAGAATTGAACAATGACTAAGGATGTTAGAAGAAGAAATGATTTTTTCTTTTTGTGGTGTAGGAGCAAAGTATTGAACATTTCATTCACTGCCAAGAGAACAAACAGGTTTGTTCTGGAGAGAGTGAAAGCAAGCTACTTCTTGGAGTCAAGGATTTTGAAGCCCCACTTTACATACTTTGAATATTTGCCACAAAGGGCCAGTCCTTGGAGAGGAGAGAGGGACATTCTTGGAAGGGTGGAAGGACAGCATGGGAGAGGAAGACAGACCCTGGATGAGATGGACTAACACAGTGGCTGGGAAAATGGAATCAGGTGGGTCAGAAACAGTGAGATTGGCTGGGGAAGAGAGATTCACAGCAATTGTACATAGGACTGCAAGTGACTCTATGACATGTAACAAAACAATAACAAAAACAAGTAGGTCACCTTTTGTGGTTGGGAACAAATATGGATCTCTTCCAATCAATTGGACAGGCGGCTGTCTTCAAGATTTCTTGAGTATATCCAGGGCTGTGTGCATTGTTGAAACAGTCTGTTGGTATCCCATCAATTTCTAATACCTTATTTTTTGTCAATGTCTTCTGTGCAACTTGAAATTCTTCCTTCATTTTCATTGGTTGTTGATCATATTCGATGTTCTGAAATGGTTCTGTGTCAGCCAATTCTTTCTGGTAAATCTATTTTGATGATATTCCCCCATCTATTTTGATACTTCCTGAATTATTTAAGATTATGTCCATAGCATCGTTCAGTATTTCAACTTGAGGTTTGAATTTGGTTTTCCATTATTTCAGCTTGAGAAATGCTGAGTGAGCCGGCGCTGGCTGAAAATCGCCTGTGACTTCATCCATAGCCACTGGTGAGAGTCAGCGTCTAGAGTCATCAGGGGCTTTAAGCTCGTTGCCCACTGCTGTGTTGTGGACAGCTGAAACCCAGGCCCTGACAGTCACCTGGGGGGGGGGAAACCCCAGACTCTACTTCATGCTCTGCTGGAGAAGGAGGGGCAGTCTCCTGTACCAGTCAGATCCAATTTGACGGTACA